TCAGGGTGTGGTGCTGCCTACAAAGCCTACTGTTTTTCTGCTTTCACTGGGTCTCTCCTGTGTGGTGGAGAGTCCTCACTGGCCATTTTCTGTTCACTAACTTGCTTTAGTAAATCCTTACTTTTGTTAAATAAATCAGTTGTTGAACCCCCACTCTCTGTTTGGTCTCCTTTCTTATTACAGCCCACCACTTCCAGTCTGGGTTGTAACAATCTGCAGACAGATTTCTGAGTATCTCCTCCTTTGGTACACAGATCCTCACTGAGCCATGTACTGTGAACAAATAGTTTCTCCATGATATTATCCAGCAAGGTCCCATTTTTGTCAAAACAAGGGTGAGGTAATGAAAAAATAGAAATATTTTCATTAAATTAACATTTAAATTATTTATATGCATCATTAAAATAAAATAAAAACATGTTTTGAAATATATAAAGTGCACCAAACTTGACTCAGTCCATTCAACAATTCTAAATGGACAATTATGTAACTCATCAATTAATTATTTGAAAGGATAATTTGTCAATTAAATACTGAAAAAAATAAACAATACATTAATGAGGCAAGAACTTCTCTCTCTCTCTCTCTCTCTCTCTCTCTCTCTCTCTCTCTCTCTCTCTCTCTCTCTCTCTCTCTCTCTCTCTCTCTCTCTCTCTCTCTCTCTCTCTCTCTCTCTCTCTCTCTCTCTCTCTCTCTCTCTCCTCTCTCTCTCTCCTCTCTCTCTCTCTCTCTCTCTCTCTGGAAGCCCCACTCTAAGGGAGTTTGCAGTGTATTAGTGTGTCATATATTGTACAACCACAGTCATAAAGTTTTCAATCAGTAGTTTTATTTCAGTATGTATTTTTCCAGTATCACAAAAAATGTAATTTTATATGGTTAGAACCATCTAGCTTATGTGCACTTTTTAAAACACTGCCCAGCAAACATTCGGACGTTTAATGACAGTTGAACGGTCACAACTGTAAAATACCTGGAATTAAGAAAAATTAACATGACATCTACTGCATTTTCCTTGCCCGGACTCGAACCTGTATCCTCCGGGGCAAGAGTCACCCGCTCTCCCAACTGAGCTATGCCAGCAACTACTGAATATCAGACTTTTTTATATAGATAGGTAGAGGGTAAAGTGCGAGGTAAACTAACCAATCAGAGGACAGAGAAGATCTGCCACAGGCCACGCCTCCAGAATGCCAAAAGCCCTTACAGCCGAGCGAGCAGGAGTCAGAAACCGAGCGCACAGAGAGGCTGCCGAGCGCGCACGTTTTCCTCTGCCGTGTGCTCGTTGACAACGCGCGCACGCAGGTTTGTCACTTGTGCACATCCTTGTGCGCTCACAGACACAGTTTGCTCCCTCTCAGTGCACAAATGACCTCTCGCCATGTATATTTTCGCTCTGCGAGTCCCGTTCACACGCGCGCTGCCATGTATATTTTCGCTCGCGATTCCCGTTCACACGCGCGCTGTGGACCCAATCCGCGTGCACGGGTTGTGGCACGCTTCAAACGCCATACACTGTGAGTTAACATAGCCGTTGTGTGCTGTGCAGCACACTTAACGCAACACGATGACATCATCAACTTGTACAGTGCTGAAAGGCGAGACAGTCTCAACTTTCAGCTAAAAAAAAGATCGCTCTAGCCATTATAGTTTTTATTTTATGGCAGTTTACAGTTTAAACAGGATCTTACTAACAGGGCACCTCCAGCGGCCCGCTGCCGCTCCGTTTTTCGTGGGGTAAATAATACGTAGCTCATTTCCGGAGTCCAAAAAGAAAGGCGAATGGCGCCGGCGCGAGACCTGCCGCCCGCCGTCAATGTATTTAGCAAAATTCTCAAAAACTCATTTTAATTTGATAGTGTTTGGTTATCAGCCTTTCGGTTTTCCCACTCTTAGCTTTTCATAAAAGCTCATTTGACAAAGAAAAAGCTAGCGGTTGGAAGTAGTTCTAATTACATGCAACGTAAGAAGCTAGCAAAAGACATTTGAAGGGATCATCATAGTGTCACACAACCTCCCTCTCAGCCGTCAACCTCCTCTAGGGAGGCACCCGCAGAGCCGCTCAGACTCCATTACCCAACATCCCTAGCGCCAGGCCTCCGTTTCACGTCACCCGCCAAACCTATATAAGGAAGTGCCGCACAACGCCGGCTCACTCAGTCATCGTTCTCACCGAACTTAACCTAGAGTCTTAACCAGATCAGCTCAGATCACGAAGCCTGTTCAGATCAGACCAACCAGATCAGACCAGCCAGATCTCAGAATCCTGCCTGCTCGTACAGATCAGCTTCAGACCAGGAGTCGCCGTGTTCAGCTGTGTCACCATACAGCTGCGCACCCGGCTCCCAGATTAAACAGCGTGTCCATTCAACCCGGCGTCAGTCACTCCGCGCTTGGGTTAAAAGCCACGCCACATCCAAACTCTCGCCCCGCTCGAGTCACCCCGTTACACATAGCACCATGCAAAACGTACAGATTAGAGAGGTTAGTTAATCAATAAGTTGGGGGACAGGCGGGAAAAATACCAGCTAAATAATAAAGAGATGCATACCTGCATCTTTTCCTCGTTTCTCCTCCTCTTCTTTTCTTTTTTTCCGAAATTGGGCACCAGATGGCTTCGACCGTTTCTTCTCCATTATGTTTGTGAGTGGTGATATGTGAAACGGTACCTGTATCCCTCCATCATCACTCTCCCAGATCCCTCCGCCCCCCACCTGATGAAGGGCGCTATAGAGCGCACTACAGAGGCGCGGCGGACACAAGGGGGCGCAATAAATCCCAATATAAACTCAAACAATGACTTTGTTGTGCTTTTATTACAGAAATATTATTATTATCATCACTCATCACTATTATTATTATGAAGAACATGTGATTTCTATGTTTTGTTGATGTATCGTTTGATGGAGAAAAAAAAACAAACAAAAAAAAAAAGGAAATTAAATGCCGCCCCCTCCAGACTGCCGCCCTGTTCGGCCGCACATGTTGCACATATCAAGCTCCGCCACTGATGTAAGTCCTATAGCTACAATAAGATGACTTACATTTAAACTGGAAATTTTCCCCCAAAGTAGCTGCCGGCTCCTGATCCGCCATCTTTTTGAAATCACTGCGCTGTATTCTGGTACATTTTTGACCAAGGCCAGGCTACAAGGCATCTTCCATGTGTCCTTGCTCAGCTAGCTAAACGGCTAGCAAATGGAGAATACACGCCTTGGTAGAACATGAACACTGGAACACGCCTTGGCGGTTCCTGATGATGTGTCTCCTAGGAAACCAGGGCGGGACCAAGACATCAAGGCAAGGTTACTAGGCATTGAGAAACAGTTACATAAACACCAGTTTTGCTTCCTGATATTTGGACATCTTGCCTCGGATCGCCTAACAGTAACACGACTTTACCACTGACTCCATTTGCTCTGCAATGCGGATGTTTCATCTCCACAAATAACACAAGCCTGAAAGAGTTCTACCATGTTGTGGAGTTGCTAATGCTAACAGTTAGCTTCTACTACAGAAAACACGTGTACTACTCCTGGATGCTAAACCAACAACAGTCTTCCCTGTTATGAGCCAAGATGGGTGAGTCCATGAATGCTAATTTGACAACATGGCGTTCAGTTGTCACTGGCGTTTCTAATCCGAGCGTTTCCCCGTTTATTTTCTAGTGGTGCCTAATAGAGGACTATTTTCATGTTTAGCATGCATTTGAAAGAATGACTGACTATATTTGAAAAATAAGTTAAAAAAATTGTTTGTCAGTGAACTTGGCCTTTAACATTTTCTTGGAAACATGACATTGACAGTCTGAGAAATTTACATGAAATTATTGTGGGTGACGGAGGCACAGGAGTTAAGGGCTCGTCCCGTAATTGGAAGGTTGCAGGTTCGAGCCCCGCTCAGCTTGTCCCTGTCATTGTGTCCTTGGGCAAGACACTTAACCCCCACTTGCCTGCTGGTGGTGGTTGGAGGGACTGGTGATGCCTGTGCTCGGCAGCATCGCCTCTGTCAGTGCGCCCCAGTGCGCTACATCATAGCTCATCCCCACCCGCGTGTGAATGTGTGTGAATGGGTGAAGGACTGATTGTGTTGTAAAGCACCTTGGGGGGTTTCAGGACTCAGGTGCTATATCAAATACAGGCCATATTGGGGAGCTCTCTTTTAATTGACTATTTTAACATTTTGCATTCCCAAATAAAAAAATAAATACACACAACCTTTTGTCCGATTATAGCATTTTTCTACCTTACAGAGCTACGGGAATGTGGCAGAAAATTCAGAGATATTACATTTTAATGTGATACTTTTATTGTTGTAACAATATAAATGTTACATTCTTGCGATATACTTTCATGTTCTTACCATATCATGTTCATGTTTGAACTATATCCTGTACATATATACGCTTGAATAACATAATTGTACAAGCCTAATTTTTATTTGCAGTATTTATGTGTGTTGATGTGATAGTGCTCTGATTTTATCTTGACTGGGTGGCAACTCTACTTTGCTGTACAGAGCTCCTATACAGAAATTGGGTTTGAAAAATGAAAGTTTCTTGTGAGGACCAGATATCTGGTTCTCAAGAAAAACTAGCTGGTGTGTACTGGGAAGAGGTTTCTTTTGTGCACAAGATTTCCTGTGCCCACCACATCATCTGATATGCACCAGATCGTTTCTCTTGCAGACCAGGCAGTGTGTACAAAAGGATATGGTGTGCAAGAGAAACCTTTTAGCCTACTTCCCTTTAGATATTTCAATTCATTTCAGTTCAATTCTATTTATAAAGCGCCAAATCACGACAAGAGTCGTCTCAAGGCACTTCACATAATAAACATTCCAATTCAGGTCAGTTCATTAAGCCAATCAGAACTAATGTCTCCTATACAAGGAACCCAGCAAATTGCATCATTTGGAAGTTACCTCAAGATGCTAATTCATTTTTTCCCTACCAGATATCCGGTGTGCACCAAATACTGTCTGCACGCTTTTTTTTAACCTAAGTCCCTCCAGGGATTCGGTACATGCGCACAAGACATCAACTTTTTTCCCCTTAGGGATTCCACACTTTCTTAAAAGGAACGCAAGCTCGAGTTCTCTGCAGGCACTGATCGAACTACGGGCGTTACCATGGCTACACAACGACCCAATGGGAAGCTCGCGCTCCTCAGTTGCTGAATGAAACAAACAGTGGCCATTTTGCTCACGGAGCCAGGGCATCATTCACTAATAACGAAACGGAAGCGGAATATTCGGACCATTTTTGGACCAAAGCGCCTGCTGTAGACGGGCAGAGAGCTGGCACCGCGGTGCGACTGGCGCATGTAAACGAGGCCATGCGGCATAATTGTGTCGCCGCTCCGCCTTCTCCTCCTCCTGGGAGGTTTGTTTCCTGAGCTCTGGACAGCTTCACCGTGTTGCTTATACGGGGCCCGGTGAGTGACCCTGAGAGCTGCCTTCGGCTATGGTTGACCGACACCGGACATCCACGCGCGTCGTTACGCAGGTGTAAGGTTTCATCACTCGGAAGCTCTACTTCCAACCCCACAGAAACGCGCAGAGTGTGTTACCACTCCTGTCGACGTAGTCACTTGAGTTATTTCATATGGAGGAGGAGGAGGGCGATTTCATTTAGCCTTGCACGGTTTGAGGAGCAAGGCAGTTGTTTTAGGGTAAGTACATCCGCTTATAGTCACCCTGCAACGCGTCTGTCCCGCGGCGAACCGCTGCTACGGCATCTGTCTGATGCGACAGACAGGTTATTCTAAATGTCCCTGAAGGCGTTGAGGAAAACAATCGTCTCGACTGAGTGAATCAGCCTCTTGGTGATGCGGTTTTCTCGCCCGTTTCTATAAATGTGCATTCCTGTGGACTGGACTGGTGTTTTCTGTGCATCAGAAGATGCGGTCGGGATGGTGAATGCTGCAACCACACGCTTTTAGCTGTGGAAAAGGGACAACGCTGAACGTAGGAAACAGCACTAGAAAAAGATGCGAGTTTAACAAGCCTAAAAATGTTAAACATGACCTGAAAGAGCCAGGTTTAATCCGGTGTTGTACACCCAAAAATGGGTATAATGACTTCCAATTTGTATTTTCTCAGCGATAGATTACATTATTGCTCTGTGTGTATTATAAACTATTTAACAAATGTGTAGGATATATATATATATATATATATATATATCGCTTTAAATAGATACAGATTTTTTCCTCCACAGTCCTCTTAGGTTGAGCAAATGTTGAACACCATACAATACAACTGTGTCTCCCACCTGGGGTTGGGACACCTAAGGGAGGTCCCCACAAGATTGCAGGGGGTCCCCATAAATATTTAGTGCAGAGGTTTTGAGGTTAGCAATATTTGATTTGTAAAAAATTACATTTCTAAAATCCAAATAACACACGCTACGTTATGATAAAAAAAATTTAATCTAAAAAGTATAACTGTAAGTCTGTTCTGAGTTTATAAATGATCACATTTCATTCCAGTAGGAGTTGGGGTTCGGGGGCCTGTCATGGACACGGGCAAGGGGTTACCATGCAAATAATGTACCATAGAATACCATGCAAATAATGTACCATACTAGCATACCTACCATACAAATAATGTAGCATGTATAATCACATAATATCTTAATATTGTAGATAACTGTTTGAATTGCTTCAGATCAGTGTCAAAATTGTAGTGGTTTTATTGTATCGCGTATTATTGGACACACCTGTTTTGAGAAATAGATGTGTAAAATATTTTTCTCATTCTAAATGTGAAACTTTCTAAAACAACATTTTCAATGAACTGCTGTGAAAGGTTTGAGTTGTGATTAGTAACTTGTGTGACTAGCCATTGGGTCTTATGTCTAGCCAAAACTAATCTCTGTTTCTCAAAACTAATGTAGTTTAAAGAGCTATTTACAACATAAGTTATTCCATTTTCCCTAAAACCTGCCCCAGATTATCGGAACAATGCCACAGATCCAATACTAACCTCTAATGAGTGAATGAATTAATGAATGAATGAATGGATGGATGGATGGATGGGTGGGTGGATGGATGGATGGATGGTCATTGTTGCAAGGAGACTTTGTACAACAAAATTAAGATGCAAGTATTCCAGTGCTACATAAAAGAAAAGCAATATGAGTATATAAATACTACGACCATATAAACGCTACGATATAAAAACTATGACCATCTAAAATACAAATGGTATGCTTACCTGAATGTTTAGTGTTTTCCCACATTCAGTATGCTGATCGGCTTTGTTGCTTTTTTATGTCGTTTCTTACAAATTGTCATTTGCTGGTATGAAAGCATGACCTAATGAGGAAAAGATTAACGGACTAGTCACAAAGGATGGTATCTGCATGACCTATTTGAATGTTAGGTTATGGGGAGGGGGGGATTCCAGGGTGCACAGTGTGTAACATTATCACTCAGGAAAACTTATACCACTACTAAGGCTTAGCTGCTTTGTGAGTGTGTTGTATGTGGTGTAGGCTGGACTGAATATTGTGTTTAGGCTAGTATTTAATGATTTCTCTGGCCTGTGAGTGGCAAAGAGGAAGCAACAACCTGCTATCTGTCTTAAAGAGGTCTGCAGGACCACTAAAGCTCAGTGGGGCTTAAACATACACACTAATGAGCGATCATAACATTTGAACGTGGCCAGTGGTCACCAGGCCCTAAAATCAATCAGCTTTGACTCACTTCCATCTGTCAGGTTAGAGTTACTAAGATGGTATATAGGTGGAGAGAGAGTGAGAGGAAAAAAGCAGATTATACAGAATCTGACATATTTTCTCTTGAAAGTTCAGAATGTATCACGCAGTTTTCCTCACTGTTCACAATCTCCCTCGAACATACTCGTTTTTATTTAGATTGTAGGACCATTGTTGTCTTCCTGCACCATTTGTCAGACCTTTTTGTCTCAGCTCTTGTGGTGTAGTGTGAAAACCTTACTCAACTGTTGATATCGCCATATAAAACAAATCACTATTTTGTCAGTATTTAAAGTTCTCTGTTATTTCCCTCTGGGATTAATAAAGTATTTTTGAATTGAATTAAATTGATTTGAATTTTGAAGTGAGTTTTGAAGGTATCAGCAGTAGTAATGCACGATATCATTGGTGTACGGGTGATGTGATATAAATTTAGCCACTGAGAGAGATTCTGACTCTACCGGCCAACCACAGTTGTGCACGAATGTTGTCAAGTAGGGTTGTCACGGTAACCGGTATAGCGGTAAACCCCGGTAAAAAAGTTGACAATAAAAATAACCGTCCAGTTTTTAAAAAACTATATTATCTCGGTGGGTTTACCGTGGCCGCGGTTTCGGCGCGATGACCCTTACCAGCCACCGTCGCTTCAGCTGAAGTTCCCGCTGCGCGCACACGCACTTTTTAGTTTGCAACGGCACCAAAACTTTGAGGCTGAAATAATGGCCGAAGGAGGCGACGGCAGCGCCCAGGACATCCATCAGCCCTCAAAGAAGACTAAATCGGAAGTATGGGCATATTTGGGATTTCTGAAAAATGCTGAGGGACAGTTAATAGAAGACGGCTATCCCGTTTGCAGAACGTGCAGGAAACAAGTGTCTGCAAAAGGCAGCAACACTTCAAATCTCATGGCACATCTGCGTGACGATCACCCACGTCTCTACAGCCAGTGCAAGGTAAGTTAACATTAGCATTTTAGCTGAAATGCATGACGTGAGGACTTTTGGTTGAGGGAGAATGCAACGAGTCACTATATACTGCAGCCGCAGCGTCCTCTGCCAGCATTTAAACCGTGTCACGGACACCCTGTTGCTGGATGAAGCATCTTATTTGTTGATGATGAAGAGAAATATACAATTAGTTCCTTGTCATGGATTTGTTTACTTATTCAATGCCATTTATACTTGAACATTTGGATTTGATTACATAGTGTAGTAGTTATTTTAGTAATTTGTTTAAAGTGGATATTTATTTTAAATACATATTTTTTAAGGTTGACTTGTACAGTGCTCAAGTCAAGTGTGGACTGGAGTTTTAGATTTTCATTTTGATAATGAAGAAAACAAGTATATGAGAAAACAAGTGGTGTTTCTTTGATTTGTTTACATATTGTTTATGTTTTGAATGTTTGGATTTGTATAATTTAAACCTGCACTGACTACTGTAACAAGTTCCAGAAAAATAAGCTATTTGTTCCTTTACTTGTGAAAAGTTGCACTTTTGCTAAGGCTTTGTGTTATTTTAGGTTTAATAAACACTGTTAAACCTTTTCAGAACTATTTCAGTTTGTGTAGAACAGGACTATCAATGCTTTCTGAACATATGCAACACCGTTTAAAAAATACCGCGATAATACCGAAAACCGTGATAATTTTGGTCACAATAACCGTGAGGTTAAATTTTCATACCGTGACAACCCTATTGTCAAGCTTCGTCAATCCAGGACGAAAGCAGCAGCAGCTGCTGTGCCAGCAGGGGTCAGGTGGATTGAAGAGCACTTGTAAAGGAGACAGAGTAACCTTGGGTATATGGACCTGGTTTGGGTTTATGGAAACGGATATTGAGCAGAATAGCATTTTCGCTAAAATATTCTGAGCAACAGTGAAGTCTTATCTGCGTTAATAGCTCGTTCATACTAATTCCCCTAAATGCGATTTCTTTTAAATACACAATTAACACACAGGCTTCCAAACTTTCGGGACATCTCTTGTGATTTCGTTTGAATAAATTCCCACCCTCGCAGTTTCAGCTGTTTCTCCCATTTATTAATAAAGCACAAGTCTGAAAGCGGCTCCTCTAACCACTGCAGCCCTTTTTGGTCAGTCAAATGCAGTAAACAGATGCTAAAATAGAAAAAAGAAATCTGGGCCCAAAATGTGTATGTGTACCAATTATATTTATCTAAACAAAATGACGGCAAACGATTAACTCTAAAGGTCTGCTTAGATCTAATTGGCCAATGCTAAAATGACTAAAAATAATGGATTAAAATAAAAAAAAACAAAAATGCTTCTTTGACCAAACCTTTCATTTCTAACCAATTTTAGCTATTCATGTTCAGTCTTTAATTTGTGGAGATTGTTATAGCGCCACCCAACAGTCACCCTCAAAGGATGGAGCTCTTCATTCTGTTCTAAATGATACTTTTTTTTTTAACTAAACTACTTTAATGATGTGAAATCTCTCCACCAAGAAATTAAAGGACCAGAGTCAATGTTTTTTAGATTCATTAAGCCTGGTTCACACAGCAGGGCAATTGTACAGATTTTTGACTGTCAGGATTATCATGCAGACTAAAGTTAAAGTTAAAGTCCCATTATTTTACACACGGGTGAAATTCTTCTCCGCATTTGACCCATCCCCGTGGGGAGCAGTGAGCTGCAGCTGTGGCCGCGCTCGGGAACTAATATCTGATATTAATCTTATCAGATAATCTTATCAGACAATCTTACCTATTGTGGTTTGTTACGAGCGCTCTGGTCTGCTTGGAAAGACGCCAGGACTGCTCCGATCATAAATCTGGGCTATCAAACATGTTGGATTGTTTTAATCTGATTTTAAGGGACAAAAAACTGCTGCCTGTTGAATGTGCCAATGTTAAAGTGAGGTGATGGAAGCGCACAGCACGCTCTTCCTCCACCATGTTTGTTTACTTCAAAGTCCCGTTTTATCTCATGAAATTTCTCATCTGAGTGGGGGCAATGTTCTTGAATGAAATCGGCTAGTGTGTTGGATTTGCTGCAGGCCACACACTGTAGGACCAAAACTGGTGTATCTGTGATTTTTTTATCACTATCTGTGTGGACTCTCACCCCTACTTAAAACTGGAAGCATCAGCGTTGCAGAACGGCAGCAGAACGTCTTGCTTCCAATAGAATCCATTATAGTCTATGGGGGTGATTCAAACCAGCTGCAATGCTAAAATGTTCAGGTGCGTACCAGAAGCAGCCCACCATGCCGCTAAAGATAGGATTGGATTCTATTTTTTGCCACGAGCCGCTTCTGGGACAATTAATTACTTAACAAAGGGCTAGAAATGAAATGACACAGTGTAAAACCCCCAGTAATTTTCTAAATAAAAGGATGCTATCTCATATCTATGTAGACTACATCAATACATGTGACCTAACGGCTTATTTACACCTAGCATTGTTTGAAAAGTGCAACAATGTGTTTTTATGGATTGAATCCTGGCAGTGGAGAGGAGCAACATCATATATGACATCGAACAGTGATATGAAAGGTGATCTTCTTGTTTTTGGTTTGTCGACAGATGGCATAAACAAATCGTTACCATTCAAGTTGTAACGGTCATAATGTGGCCATTACAAAGTCTCAAGAGATTTTGTGATCTTGCGAGTCAAGCGAGGAGCCTGGCAGAGAAGCTGCTCTGTGGCTGAGATTCTCCCGTTGTGCACTAGCACACAGCCAAAGTCGCAAGTAAATGTTCCGCTGCCATTCCATGATGCTGGTGCCTCCAGTGTGAAGTAGGGGTCATGCTTAGAAAATCAGCTGATTATTTAAAAATCCTGCCGTGTGAGCCAGGCTTTAAAGCTGCAATAGCAAATTTGGAAAATAAATTTGCTGTAAACATTTTTTATGACTCTTAACAACGTTCTAACATAGTATAGCTATAAATATGTTGTGGAAATTTAAAAAAAATGTAAACATAAGTGATTGTCTTGCATTTGTCTAAAATCTTCAGCCAGTGACAGATTTCGCACTGAAAAAAACTATTGGACCATCCGGTTGTCGGCCACACTGAACCGCCACACTGCACTTTCCTGGGTCCTCCTCTCATTACACCCTTACGTATTTAACTACAGAACACCACTGGCGTGAGAGGTTCTCCACTCAATAATATCAGAGAAGGAGAAACAGCCGGCTGCTACCACTTCAACTTTAGAACAAGTTAGCAGAGTGTCAAAAAGAAAACACCATTTGAAGTCACAAAACAAAAGAAGTTTGGACGTAGAAAACAGTGACTGGTGTTTAGCGCTATCTCGTTTCCTCTTGAAGTGCAGATGTCCGGTTCCAGCAGAAGCATCTCAGGTAAGATACCCGAGGAGAGGGGTGTGTGTTCTGTGTTTGGGTTCCAAACTGAAATTTGCTATAGCACCTTTAACTGCAGGACGATTTAACATTTCATTTAGGTTTAGTTTTTCTAGTCTTGTATTCTGTCCCCATTGAGTGATTTTTGTTTGACGTCAGATATCTCGACCACATTGAATTTTACACCATTTGAACATTTGAAGTTGATCCACTTAGTAGAAAGTAGTTGACTGTCCTGCTGTAAAGGAGAAACAGAGAGTATGATTAGTGCACATTGTTTACAAATCAGTAATGCAATGTTCCGTTGCATTTTTATTAGTTTTTTTAACCCTAGGATGTTCTAATAAATTGTGCTCTGATATATTTTTATTACAACAATGCATTTGCTGGTTTGTGTTCTCACATCAAATCATTACATTATAGAAAGAACCACCTATTCACACCTTATAATCCATAGTAATGTATAGAATCAGTCCTGCAGCTGTCTCTGCTCTTTGTTTTATATTTCTAAGGTTTACGTCTTTTTAAGTGACAGACTCTTCGCTCAGCTATTCTGCTTTTTATATCCTGCCACTTACTTAACTGGGAATGACAGGGCCTTGCAGTGGCTGATAATGAACGAGGTGTTGAAAGTGTGCGGCTGAGGCCATGTCGATGCAAATACTGTAGTCTGGAGTGGCTCACAGGTCAAAGTGTCAATGTGTTTGGATTGGAGTTTGTGTCAAATATAGTTTGCTCTTGTACTTTAAAAAGCACAGCATGAAGCGAAGAATGATCACATTAGTGTTATTTCTTCATAATTTCTTGGTCTGAAGGACGATGATTTGATCCTGGTACCAACATTTTAAGATTACATTTCTCCGATGAAGAAGAACAAAGCATTTTTTTGTGTTGTTTAGATGCTTTTCTGAAAATCCACTCATCGTCTATTGCAGAGTGTCATTAGAGTAACGTATAAAAGCTGATAATGTTTGAAACTGGACTTTCAGCACTGGGCTTCATTGGTCCCTTGGTACTGTTCTGATCCAAGCTTCCATCATTAGCACTTGTCAGTTGTCAGCTTTTCGCCATACCTCAGTGATCCTCGGCACGTGACCAGAAGTTTCTGGGAGCCAGGTGCTGTTTTACTGTAGTTATAGATGGACTAAGCATTTCAGTCTGACGCTTTACATCTGGCCAGATCTATCTGTACTCATGTAAATGAGATTTTTTTACATTACCGCTTCCTTATAAGCATAATGAAAGCAGGTTCAGATAGTGTCGATCCATGATACATTTGTACGGCAGAAAAGTTGGCAGCTTGTCAGCACCTGGCTTAGCCACTGATGAGGTTTTGTGTTTTATACTGGAATATCTCTCGCTAACATGTTTGTTTTTAAGACTTGAAACAGATGGTCCGTTTAAGATGAAAGTCTAGACGTAAATAGAGGTTTTTAGTCAGGCCATGAAAGTAAAAGATGTTTGCTGAATGAGTCATCTAGTAAAGTTGAAACTAAACAGAGAAAGTCATTAGTAGCTGTAATGATCACAGTTGTTTTGCCTTTCAGGACTCACTTAAAGGAACATAAAAACTGTGAATTCATGACTGACAGAGTCTTCCTGAACATTCCTCTGCAGTCGTTTGATCTGAACTGACTCACGTCTCTATTGTTTGTTGCTGAATCCAAGCTTGAAGGGAGTAGATGGCTGTTGTCCAAATAGCATTTTGCACAGTAGCGGTCTTGCCGGTTTTAGGTATCCAGGCTCTAAGTATGAGATGCTAATAGCTGTAGTTACATCATCATTCTGGGAATAGCAGGGAGTCTGTGGTCTAGAGGTGCAGCAGGCTGACCTCTCTTCTGTGTATATCCAGCCTGCGTATGTATGTGTGTGGTCATTTCCAAATATACGTTCCCATATGGATTACACAGCAGGGACATTATTACTCATACAGGTTAGATGGCACATATTTTGATTACCATTTGCCACATGATTGACTGATTCTTGTTTATTGTTTTGGGTGAAATGTCAAACAGTGACGCTATAGAGATCTGACCCCTCTTGACCGGCGGCTCAACCGTCAGCAATAAACCATGAAAAGAAATCTGGTGTGAGAAGAGTTGATGTTTCCGTCTGTTTCTGTGTGGCAGAATCCACGTTATGTCTGAGAAGTGTGTGACATCCAAACCTGGGTGGAGAAGCGCGAAAGCTCTCAGGTGTAGCACCACCTGAAGAAGTCCAGTGCGTAGCAAAAGAGACCGAGTTTGTGCTCCAGTACAGTCTTTAAATGAATGAACATAATTGGTGGCATGCATGATAACATTTGTGCAAGTGGTAAAAAAGAGATAGTCAGCCCTGTCACTTTGCCCCCCACCCCCCACCCCCCAACCCCGCCTGTCTACACTTAAGGGGGGCTAACTTTCCAATCTCATAGACAAGCATGCCTGAGTCTGAAAATAGCTGTATCTGATCACAGCTTCGCCCAAACAGGGAACTCTCTTCCCCCGTCACTCCCTCTCTGTTGTCTCTGTGCTTCCCAAGCATTAAACGGGGGAAAGATCTGGGAATAAAGGAGGAGACACTGATCCGGAGCGGAGGGAAGAACCACAGAACAGCAGAAGCAAAAAGAGAGAGGAATTGTAAAGTCGTACTTCATCTTTATTTGACCCTTCACAGCAAGTTTCCATTCTTTTGGTTTTATGACGGTAAGAGTTATGCTTTCTCTGCTTGATGGATTTTTGCACCTGCACTATGCTGTTTAAGGGTGGAGAGGCTTTTGAGGATAAATGATGCAGAAAACATTTCTACTGAAGGAACATGTGTTTGTGCATTCTAATGCTGTAACTCTGCAGAAAACAAGTTTGGAATTGTGAATTTACCTTTAACTGAAGTATTTCATCGGTTTTCTAGTTTATCCTTGTGTAACGTTGATACACACAGACGCTGTAGTGCTGTCTACCCAGGGTGTCTATATTTATTTGTCATGATGCTTTGATGTTTATGATGCAGAGAATTCAAATTAAGAGTTCTGAATAGACTTTACAGCCGGTGCACCAAAAGAGAGATTGAATCAAACTTTTCGGCCAAAGCCACAATTACAGGCTAACTGCAGAATTTCTGTCTTTTGTGACAGTTGACAGAAAAATAAAAACTGTTAGAATAAAAACGCTGTTTTTTTCTGCTAGCAGCCCTGAAACGGCGGGGGAAATGTAGGCTATAATTTAGAAGGCTGAAAACAATAAAACGTTTTGCGATGTCTAATTTAGTCTGACACTTGGGACGTTTCAATTAAAAGAAAGGAAATGTCAGTTAAGCGCACTAAAAAAGGAAAGAAGAACTTTTTTATTATTTCACCCCCCCTTCATCCCTTCCTCCTCAAGACCTTTTCTGACCTCTTTTTTACCTCCTACCTGCCTGCGAAACTGCCCTGGAATCTCATTTTTTCCCTACGTACTTCCGTCTCTTGTTACACTCCTTTTTTTTCATCTTCTCGTCTTTCTCATACAACAAAAGCCATGCACCTATCCCTCCATTAGACCAACCTCGGAGGTGTTGTGGAATGTCACCTTGGCCCCTCGGGAGCACAGTAAGGGGTGGTTCTCAGCTTCGGCTCACAGCACCATCGACCGCTTCACTTTCGCTTGCATCTCACATATCCATAGACACTTTGCAACCTTCAAACGTCACACAGAGCCAAACAGTGCTGGTTCAGAACAGTTTTATGTCATCACCATTAGCTAATGCCCGTACAAGCAGATTTAGGATGTGTTACAGAGTAATTTAGATTTAGTTATTCATAATTCCTTATTAGCTGATGTATTATTTATAAGAATAAACCAAGCTGTATGAAACTATAGATCCAGCCCCCAAGAATTTAAAAGCTTGAACGTTCTCAGCTGTTATGTTGTTTTTACCCTCGTCTTCCTCATTCCTCACTAATGGCATCTGTGTGTTTTGGAGTCGATAAACAAAATGAGGCCAAACACATTTCAGCTCAGTCAGTAGAGTCTCTGTCTGCTCTGAGGGGTTTTAGTATTGACATGATGAACATTTCTGCTCTTCAAACTAGAAAATGCACAAAGGTTCAGCTCAGGGGTATTCCAAAAGGTCCGTTCCACACTGGAGGTTAAAGAGTCCCGTCTAACGGCCGTAAATTTAGCACCTTTACCAAACAACTTCCTCTTATCTTCAAGCTCAGCACTTAACACAGGTACCTGGGGAATCCACTCTTAAGTTTAGGGAATTTATTCTTAGCCACAGCTGATAGCTGCTCTGCTTTAGCACACTCTGGGCCCTAATCAAAACCTATTTTTAACGTTTTCTTTAATGAAAATTGTTGTTCAGTTTGGACAAACAACAAAAATGACAAAAGACAGCATCACAAGGTGATGAGATTTAAAAAGGTGTTTGGGACTCGGCTTTATTTTGCATTAGCTGCTAGTTATGGCAGTCACCTCCCACGACTTCCTGCTGTTGAAGAGCGCTGAGAAAGCTCATTATCCCCAAAACGCTCTACAAGGACTTCATTTGTTGTTTTTATGGAGCCTGTGCTTACTTTTCCATGAGTGTGTGTAATGTGGGGTTTGTCCTCACCTGACTGAATTCCAGTCTCAACACTGTATTTCAAATGGTTTGACATTCCTCTTTTGACCTGCACTTGTTTTTTTTTCCTCCCTTTTCCTTTCAAGAAAGCTGAAGTGAAACAGCCATAAAACCGTGACGAGCTTCAGCCTCATCTTTGAAACGTTTCATCTCCGTGTTGCACTGCGTCGGTTTGTTTGTGCTATTGCCTCCCTGTGGTCCAGCACCAATGTTGTGCACTCGTTTTAAAAGAAGTAGGTTGTTTACCTGTGATGCTGTCTCCTCAGGTTATTTATATTAGCCAGACTATGCCATCACCTGAGTGTTCAAATGTTTTGCCTTTCTAAGATCATTGTGTGCATCCATCTTTTGTGATAGACAAAAATGACTTTTTTTTACGGCTTTGTAAGCTACGTATCTTTAGCTCTGTATTGCAGTAAAGGATGACAAACCCACAGACTGTCACATCCTGTTCACTCTTCCTCCCGTAGCACCCAACTGCTGCAGGAGGAATTGTGTTACGTAATTGCATTAGTGCTCTCAGGCCAGTGGATCTGCTCGTTAGTGGAGTTGTGATGCAATCTGCAGAACACACGGCCCTCTGTTATTTGCAGTATGGACAGTGAGTGGGCATGCAAGGTCAACACACTGACCTCCCGCTTTCATTCATACAGTCAGAGGGGGGTCTGCTAATGAATGGCAAGGTTGAACAAACAAGGCGGATAACAGAGACTTTTGTTGCAAGTGGCTGTTGTTCAACCAGTGGCAGTAATGTCCCAGAGGAACCGTTACACGTCGCTCATAAAGCATTCCTTGTGCAAAGATAAGTAGCTCCGTACGTGGGTGAGAGAGTTTTAATGCACAGTCCATTTTTGCATTTGCTAATGTAATGTAGCAATTACAACTTTAGCTTTGGGTTTATTTTATTTATTTATTTATTTATTTATTTAAGGGGGGGCAGAATTTTTAACATTTTTCTGCTTTGCTGTAGTATAAAGCTGATTAGGGAATAAATACAAATGTAGGTCAGGAGTTTTTACAGCAACAGAACAGTTTCAGGTTTAGACTTTACTTCAGGAGCTTTGATAAAACCCCTAATAATTGTTCAAAATGTGCTAAAGCTCATTCATGGCAAAAATATATTAAAATAATAATTATAATAAAATGTTCCAATACATACAAATTAGACTTTTGATTTCTCAAGCGTCCTGTTTTTTTTTCCCTGCCGCAACCTTTAACTTCTCACATTTTACCACAAAAATGCACCATTAAAATAACTTGGTTTCAGCTCAGTGAATAAAAAAAACCTACAGAAATCTCATTTCTGCCTTTTTTGGACGTGTTGCTTTTCCCTGCCCGTCGGGTTTTAGCCTGGACATTTTTTGATGGATATTTATGTCACATCTCAAGGGAATCTTTTCCCCTGTTAGAAATAAACTGACAAAGCATTATTTCTCAGCTCTGACTATTAGATTTCACTAATTGATCTGAGCTTGAGTTTAGTACCAATAATCTGATTCTTGAATCTTTTCATGCTTGTTTTATTCACTGTGAAACCTTACTCTGGATATGCTAAATTTTATTGAGTTTCAGCTGTAATATCTTACTGTGTTCATCAATTTTTCTGACTTATTTTAGGCTTTTAAGAGCTGACATACATTTCTGTACCGTGAGGGCTGACTAGAACCTGTCTGTGGGTTGACTTTCAAACCTTTTAAATCTTTAAATAGATTTTCTAAGAGGCTTAATCTGATGACATCCTCTAAGCATGTCTCGTCTCAGAGTGACCACTCTGGGGTCAGGGTCCTTTAGGGTGTTGTCTCCAATGACCGCACACTGTTTACTAGAAAAAAATCTGCAGATCAAAACTTGCTAAAGCTGTGTGGATACTGGGGGCGACTTAAGGACAAATTGCAAACGGCACTTCCGAGGGAGTTTCTAAAATGTCTCAAAACAATTGCAAGTTTTTTTAGTTTCTTCCTTTGAGCCACAGACCTTGCTGTGATACTGCGTGAATTTAGAACATTTTCAGAAACGTACAAAGTAGATGTTCTCTTAAAATGAATGTAGGGTTGTTGCGGGTGTCTGGAGACTCTGAATCTAGTTTCTGTTGGTGTGTTTTCATTGTTGGAACTTCAGGGGAATTTCTAGGAAGGGGAATTTGGTCAGGAGATAGAATAGCCTGGTCCTCTAAGCTGTCTCCATACAAATTCAGCCCTTTCAGGACTTTACTGAGATGTCAGAATATTGTGACTGCTTCAGTAGTTAGTGATGTCACCGACCAGCGCCAAAACGCATCCACAGTAACAAAAAAGGTTCATTCTATCGAAGGCAATGTAATCTATTAGGAGGATCGAGAGAGCTGCTGTGTCATGTAAAATGTGGCGTTCAATGATCAGAAGAAGCGTAATTTATTTACGGTACTCTATGAGACAACAAACCCCTGTGATTTATATCGTTGTGGTGGAATTCTGCTGCGTTTTGGGGTGTTGGGAGTTTAATAAAGATGGTTTTAAAGCAGTGCAAATGGTGCTTATTTGTTGCGCTTCCATTCTGCTTCACAAGCAACTTTTCTAATTTTACTTACGCTTGTTGTTTTGGACGATGTCTGCTGATGTCATTTCCTAATGAGTTACAACCAATCAACATGACCCCTGGATCACGCCGAGAAGCACGGTGGAACGAAGAGCACTTCTATTCGGCGCCTTTGTTAAACTACGGTCTTGGTCGCATCAGCCGCGAAGCGCCACGAAGGCTCGCACCAGGCAGTGATCGTTTTGGCAAGTGCTTTAATTTTTTCGCGAGCCGCATCAATTCTGGCAGGAAGTCAAACCAAAACAGAAGAGGCAGGCAGGTAAATTCAACAAATAAAGAAAATGTTCTAAACAAAACACCAAGACTGATGAATGTGATCATTTCTGTGTATCTGGGAAGTTCCGGTAAAATTGCCGTGAAGCGCCATTAGTGGAAGCACACCTTGTGAGTGTCAGACCATTGGAGGGGTTGGTGACCAATTTGCTAATAAAATGTGGGTAAATAGTAAACAAATTAGGACAGAAGATAATTAAGACACTTGGTGAACAAGATGCAGCACTATAATGTACATAGCAGTCACACAACTTTT